TAGTTTTTATTCCTACTAAACAAGGGTTTTTTTAGATTTAATTCAGATAAAAATGACTGTTGAACTTAAAAATGACCATAGTACCTTAAATAATCTTGTTCTTTATATTAAATCAATTAAAAATCATTGATCAATCTACCTGGTTGATATTATCCCTGGGCCAGGTGTGGTAGTGTGTATCATTAATCCTAGCACTTGGGAGGCAGAGGCAGATGGATCTCTATGAGATCAAGGCCCTCTGATTCTATATACTGAGTTCCAGACCAGCTGGGCTACAGGGAGATTCTGTGTCAGAAAATAAAACAATACTTCTCCTAAATATATTTAAGTAGGCTTTACACAATATAATTTGCTTCTATGCTAAATTTAAAATGAATATTTTTAATTTCTCATCTAAATGCAAAGAATTTTATCTACATCTGTAATATATTCACTAATTTAATTTTCCTTATTCTAGAAGCTTTTTTGTAGATTCTTTGATGTTTATTAGTAAGCAAACTATTTTGTTCCTTTCCATTTATTTTTTTTGCCTTTCGTTTTCCTTCACTGGCTAAGACTACTGATTTGATATTAAATTTTTCTTTGTTAAGTATCTATAGTCTTTTCAGTTACAAAATTTGTGCCTAATATTAAGTCTTGCTTGATTATGGAATTGTTACCCTGAGCAACTGTCTCAAAAATCGCAAGAGTAAAATAAATAGACAAAGCAGAGTCTCCCCTACAAACGTGGTCCTTCCAGATTTCACCTGTTGTCCCATCTGCTTCCTTCTCCTTACTTCACAGAGTCCTTAGACAAGTGGCGATTGTTTCCTTTGAGAGGGCTAAACAACCCTGACCTCAACAAAAATGGCCAAACCCCAAATTTCTAGAATATACTTTTTAACAATATTGTCTTTATGTTTTGATGTAGATCTGCTGCTGTATAAGATGTATGAATGTGAAAAAATGAATCCAACATGTCCATTTGTAGTGCGTTGGTTTGACACCACTGTTCACATCTTGGAGGTCTGTGTTGTATTTTGAAATCCAACATTCTCAGTGGAGATGAAGAATCTCTCAGTGGTGACTGAGTTCATCCTGCTGGGCATCCCACACACAGAGGGCCTGGAGACCATGCTCTTGGTCCTGTTTTTGTCCTTCTACATCTTCACTCTTATGGGAAACTTGCTAATCATATTGGCAATTGTCTCTTCCACTAGGCTTCACACTCCCATGTATTTCTTCCTGTGCAAGTTATCTGTGTGTGACATATTTTTCCCTTCTGTGAGTTCTCCCAAGATGCTCTTCTACCTCTCAGGAAACAGCCGAGTCATCTCCTATGGAGGCTGTGTGTCCCAGCTCTTCTTCTACCATTTCCTGGGTTGTACTGAGGGTCTCCTGTACACAGTGATGGCCTATGACCGCTTTGTGGCCATTTGTTACCCTCTACGCTACTCCATAATCATGAGCCACAGAATGTGTGCCATCCTGACTGTGGGGACATCGTTTTTTGGCAGCATTCATGCCACCCTTTTAAGCACTCTCACCTTCCAGTTGCCCTACTGTGGCACCAATGAGGTGGACTATTACTTCTGTGATATTCCTGTGATGCTGAAGCTGGCTTGTGCAGACACTTCAGCTGTGGTGATGGTGGGGATTCTCAGTGTGGTCCTCTTGCCTCTCAGCTGCTTTCTTCTCATCCTCACCTCCTACAGCTTCATCATCTGCTCCATCCTGAAGATCCACTCTGCTGAGGGCAGACACAAAGCCTTCTCTACCTGCAGTGCTCACCTCACTGCCGTCCTCCTTGCCTTTATGCCAGTGGTCCTCATCTACCTGCAGCCCACCCCCAACCCCGGGCTTAATGCAGCTGTACAGGTCCTGAATAACTTGGTCACCCCTATGCTGAATCCTTTGATTTATAGCCTAAGAAATAAGGAAGTAAAAGGTTCTCTGAGGAAAGTGCTCAAGTGGCCTTTGCTTCTGATAAGTGTTAAAGAAAAGAAGAGAAGCTGACACTTTCATATCACAATTCTTGCAAAAGTTATTTTCTCTGAGTGACAGCACAGATGTTAGCTCATTTTACCAATCAATAAGCTAATTAGGACTTGTTGACCAAGGTCAAGTTACACAGGCTTTTTGTTACTAATATTTTCCCACTTGACCAAATAATTTGAATTTATTTTCCATTTCTGGCCTTAGCATCTTCTTCCTATATTCCATCCCTTTTTCTTTTTTCCTTGCCCTACATTATCCACATATCCTTCAAATAGCCTCATTGAACCTGTTTTCCCCATGGTCTAGGTATTAAGAGTAGGAGACATTGGATAACATGTAATTTGAAATGAAAGAAACTTTGTAAAAGAAAAATAATACTTCAGGATTGGACCCAAATCCCTTTCTTACTGGTGAATCAGGGTTCAGGTGTGTTCTATAACATATAAACCGTTCCTGTGGTCTCAGACTAGGAAACAAACGAAAATGTGAATAGACAGGAAGAAGAATCTGTTAAGGCTGATTCTGTTTGTCTTCAGTATTAGCTTTGGAATTTTCAGCCCAATCAAAGGCCGATACAAAGTCCAAGCTGCTGCTGACTTACGGTTTTGGATCCCCTGCTTACACAGGCTGTGGCTTTACTGTTGTCTCTCTCACATTCTTTTCCTCCTGATAGGATTGTTTTGATGATAATACCAGTCATCTTTAGAAGAACTTTCATTAAATAGTAGAAACAGGGTATTAGTCATGTTTTCTATTAATTCAACAAATAAACATGTGTGAAGACCTCATTCCCCATGTTAAGTATATGATAGTGAGCTAGTCAGGGAAGCAGAGTAGCAATCAGTGAGGTACTGAGTCGATACTGACATCCAGTGTATGTTTAGTATACCAAGGCCCCTTCTCTGCTGCTGTCTTATTCTAGGCAGAACGTGCTCTTTCTCTCTCACTTTCTGGAAAATTGAGCTGAATTCATAAAGTGATCATTGTAGAGACTATGAAGAAAGAAGCATAAGGCTGGAGTTCTTATAGAAAACTAAACCAACAATATGGGTCCCATTGTCACACGGTTTGTCTACATTGAGACAATTTCTAGAATGTAATCAATGAAAGGGGGGCTCACTGTCGCAGTGTTAGAGATTTCAGAACTCATACACATCAAGAGGCGTGTTGGGAAGAGCATTAGAGAGCATGGAGATCCTCAGATAACTCTGGAAATCTGCAATCAACCCCCACAGTCAAAGTTTAATCTGTGATTGTGTAAGGTAAAATTGCACAAGTCTAGCTAACACAAACAAACAAAATTCCTGTTAGTAAGCTTGTATATTTTGGATATGACTATTCTGATTATTTCTAAATATTAACTTAATAACAGTCCCATGATCTCCCTTGGCTATTGTACATCTTATTTTTAGAAACTGGTGGATTAACTTTGCTAACATTTTGTTAAGAGCTTTCATATCTACAGATCTACAAACACATCAATAAGTGATATACATTGTTTTAAAATTCTTCAGAGTCTAGATCAGGGTACCACTGATAAACTGAATATCATTCAACTATTATTTTCTTAATCCTCTTACAACTTAACACATTTATAAGAATATGCACACAAGCCTGCAAGAGCAATAAAAATGGTAGACTCAGTGTCAGGGCCAGAGCTGACCCAGAACGAGGTCCACAGACAGGAATTCTACAGTTGCCAGTGAAAGTTTCAGACCCAGACTGGAGGCTGGAGATGACCTCAGGTAAGACCCAGGTGGTACACAAGGAGCAGTGGACAAGCAGAAACTTCAGCTCTAAGGTGGAGACCAGATATGACCCAAAGTAAGACCCAATGTATTGGGGGACTTCTACAACTCACAGCAGCCAGCAGCAGAGGCGGTGGAACCAGGGTGGGGACAGCATCTGATGAAGGGTGAGGAGAGGGTTCTACGTATGTTCAGAGTTCCACAACTTACAGAGTAAACTGCAGAGTTAGACAGGAGCCTAGACCTGGCACTGGACAGCATCTGACCCTCAGAGGAAGACTGTCAAAGCTTCTGTTCCTAATTATCCAGTCCACAGGGGGAAATGACTCCATACACATATTAAAACTTAGCAACTTAGTCCTCCACTGAACCTTATAACCGCTTCCACTGAAAGAACAAAGGAGACTTGAACTACAAGATAAAAATGAAGATGAGAGAATTTCAGTCATACCCTTCCCAGCACAGAAAACAAACAAGCAAAGCATGAAAACTAAGATAGTGTATCTTTTTCTGAACCACTAGTTTCATAGTAAAGGCTCCCTATGAAAACAGTTGGAAAGAACTTCCAGAAAAAGAATTTAAAAGATTAATCACGACTATATTGCAACAACTTGAGGAAGACATTGATGCACTCCACGAGAACAAAAACAAATGTATGAATGGCCTGGGAGTAAGGAGGAAATTGTAGGGTACAGGTGAGGTCTAACACATTGGGGAAAGGGGGGATGTGGATGGGCTAGCCTAAACTAAGGATACAAGAAAAAGCCTTATGGAGGCCCACTAGTTAATACGCAAATAATGAAATAAAGGTATAAAATAAGAGTTAGAGGGGGCTGGAGAGATGGCTCAGCGGTTAAGGGCACTGAGTGTTCTTGCAGAAGACCTGGATTCGGATCCCAGCTCCCACATGGCAGCTAACAACTGTCTATAACTCCAGTTCCAGAGGATCCAACAGCTTCTTCTGTCCTCTGTTGGCATTGCATGACATGGGTGCACCTACTGACA